TGTGGTATGAAGAATGTACCAAGCCCTTATGAGAAGTCACTGGGTGGCCAGTACACATTTCCAATTGCCAGTGCTCAGTGGTTTGAAAAGCAAACATGGTACATGAGGTTTTACTCAGTGTTGCACATAAGCATTTACCAGGGAACAAAATGTAATTTAAGCCATTGTTGGTGACACATGTCCCCCAAAGATTGTGCTGTCTGCCTTATAAAAAGCACAGAGCAGCAGCCAGTTTCCTAATTCCTGCATCTTGCTAGAAAGTGTGCCTGAAATAGCAGCTCTCTGCTGCAGGGCAAATATGTGTGTGTTGTTACAGTTCTCTGTACTCACTGTTTCACACCAGAAAATCTGACAGGTTTACCAGTTTAAGAGAGGTTTTCTTGTCAATGTTGTAGATTTAATCAGAGGCTGAAGGTGGGGGCTTTTGCTTTCAGGCATCAGCACCTCTAATAAAAGTTCAGTATGGCACATCACGCTTTCGGTGGCATTTGTGCAGAGGCTGCTGTTTGCACAAGTCTAGGTAGTGGGAACTTGGTAAGAAATCCAATAGCAAGGAGGAGCAAGTTGCTAAAAATACTGAAGATCAGGTTTCAGCAGAGCCACTGGGGGCTCAGCAGTTAAAGATATCTTAGCACTAGGTCGTGTACAAGTTCAGGAGGCAAACTTTGGGTTCCTTTTTTTGTTTGTTGTATTAAACTTGTGACTCACCTGTATCTGCTCAGAATACACCATCAGATGCTTGGCTAAGTCATGCAGTTTCTATCACCTCTGTAAAAGTTCATCATTTTATGAAAAACATAACCTTTCTTGTATGTACTGTAAGTGAACAAAAATGTTTAGTAAGACCTGGATTTCTGGGCTTGCTCAAGTCTGTGGATGCCTTTGCTTAATAGCTTTCCGTAAAATATTTCAAATTATTCCTTGTTGTATTCTAAGCCACATATGAGCTCCCTCTGATGGTTAAATGGCAAAATTATTTTCCTTAGCTTAGGAAGTGGACCTGTATGTTAAGGACCCTGTGAATTCCCAGTTCTTTGTTAGATATAGTGTTGCTCCAGCCTGTTTCTGTAGGCACACTGCCCATGGGAATTGCAGTGGACCAGAAGAGTAATGGAGCAGTTTGGGGACCCAAATCTTGTTTGGCATAACTCATTAATGTTTATTGTAATAATTGGGAGTAAGTTGTCTTGTTGGGATGATTCTGTACAGCAGTAATTAATTTGAATGTGTGAACTTAATATAGAGAAGATACTCAGTTATGCCCTTGGAAGATGAATTCAGATTCAAGTTCCTGTGTTGGTACAGAGGCAATTGCATATTTAACACCATGGGCAAAACCAGCTTCCCACCTTATCTCTTTTTTATCTGAGCATCTATATTTTTCTTCTCAGCAGGGTAATAGGTGGGTACATCCTGTCATTACATATCATTATCTTATCAGTGCATGAGACAGTTTACCTTTGCAGTCTATGGGATCTTCCCTGCTGCCATTCACAAAAAACTTTACAGTAGGAAAGGCTTGAATATTAAATTCTTTTCTCAAATCATGTTGGTGTGTCACATCAATTTTGCCAAACTGGATTCTTGGAGCTTCTTTTTTAAGCTGTCGGGCAGCCTCAGCAAATTCTTCAGATAAATTCTGAGAAGACTGAAATAAAGTAACATCTGGAAAAGGCCAATCAAAAGCAAATGGGTTACATAAGCCACAGTGTGAAGCTTTCTAGTGGAGGTTGTTGTGTCAAGTGGTAGCTGGAGGGTTTGAATAAGGTCTTCTATGACTCAGAAATAAATGAAGGATTATATTTACTTCTTTATATTGATGCTGTTTTTTCACCACTCCATATGTCCTTGAACGAATCACGATGATCAACCAGCAATATTTCAATATTCTTTTGTTGGGAAAATATGTGGAGCCATTAAAAAGTAATTTGACTGACTATGCTGGATATGAGTTTAAGAGAGGTGAAGGATAGAGTTAAATATTGCTCACATTGGGACTCTATGATCCCATTTTTGTAAGCACTTCAGTGAGGCAAACTTTTGTAATGCAGAAAATAGTTTTGCAGATGAGATATGGAGGGTGGTGTTGGAAAGGCTGGCAATGGGCAGTGTACTCCTCATGCTGTCCTGGGTGCCAGCTCAAATGGCACCTGTGTGTTTGGTGGAAGCAGAGGGCTCATCCTAGGCTGAGCCCTGGAGCTGTAAAGTTATATTAACATTAAAAAAGGACAAGAGAAGGAAACCAGGCACACAGACTTCTCTGCATTCAAAGACAAGTAAGAGATAAAGACCTGGAGCTTTATATTTTTGTAACTTTGGTTGAAAAAAAATGTGAATTTTGATTGAAATTGAGATACTCTGTCTTATTAAATGGCTTTTATTATAAAGAACAAAACTTTTTTCTTTATATTATGCACATAAATATTTTGTTTCTTCAATATACTTTGCAAATAGGAAGAGATGAAGAACATGCAGGTAAATTTGGTTTCATAAAATGGTGTTTGCTTTTTTGTGTATAGATGGGTGTTTTTGTGTATACACACGTTCAGATATATAACTCCACAAGCACACATACAAACACACCAAAGCATAAATATAACAAAACAACTGTCTTTTGTTCTTTCACAAAATAGCAGATGCACTTCTCTAGAACATACCTTGTGGAGATATTGCCCAATGTAGTTATAACCAAAAAGTAAATGGACATTTCTTAGAATCCATATTCTAACTCAGTGCTGAGTTACATTCCTTGCATTATTCATCATTATCCTTTGTCTGAATCCCAGCCATCAGTCATTTTCTCCCACCTTACTGCTGCAGCAAGTGTGAAGATTAGCATCAAATAATGCTATTTTCTCAAAATATTAAAGTACCAGGCCCTTCCACATACAGACCCATCTTGGCAGAGGCTCACAGAACCCCTGCACTGGAAGAGCTGCTCCAGCTGCTAATATACCAAAGGACTTCTGTTAGCAGAACAAAACATAGTCTGCTCAGGGGATACTCAGATACCATGTGATGAAGAGAAGGTGCTTCTCTAAATAAAGTAAATGAGCCTGAAGACAACAGTCCAAACCCAGGCTGTGCTAAAATTGCCTGTAAAATTAGTGTTCCATCTAATAAGCTTATTATGATTGTTCAAAGAAATTTTACCCAAACTTTAATTTCCTATTTCCAATTGATAAAAATGGTCTCATGAACCTTTACCTCAACAGGATTGTAAAGTGTTATCTCCTAGCACCAAAAAAAAGGGGAAAAGTATCTCCAGTTGTACCTCAACATGCTCTAGAGGCAACGGCAGAAAACCTGCAATTCTGACCTGACAATGTAAGAAACTGCATATCTACCCTATAAAAATATTGCTGCTTTTAGGGACACTGTGTGTTGAGCCTTTATGAAAAATTTTTGCTGAAAATGATTGCAAAGGTGGACTATTCAATAACACATGGGGTATTTGCAATGCAATTTGAGAATGCTGATAGAGACTGCAGGTGGCAGGGCTCACCCAGAACAGCTACTGGGCTTTCCAAGAGGAAGGGTGTGTGGCTCTGGACAGAATGTAGCTGGAGTAAGGCGCAGGAAACTCCACAGCAAACCAGGATCCAGCAGCTCTCAGCTAATTCTAGGGCAGTGTTTTACACCAGAGGCAATTTCAGTATAATGATTTTTTTCCTAATAACCTAAGGTTTCACAGCTATTTTACCACAGCTGGGAAAGTGGAAGCTGAAATGCTTTTTGCCCAGGGAAATAAGAAGGGGCAGAAGAAACTGTTGGTGAACTCCAGAAAGAGAAGTCTCACAAACATAAAAGAAATGTTAAGCTTAGATACTAGACATTTGAGCAGATTGTCTGTGGGGAAGAGGGCGTAGGATCCATTTTTTTCTGAAATATTTTAATTCCAAAGAGATATTTTAGGAATGATCTCTTATCACTGAATGAGCTGAGTAGTCAGAGTTGCAGCTAACTAGGAATGTAAGCAGCATGCTTAGATAATGAGAGTTGGTAGAGTTAGCAGCTCCGTGCTGCAGCTGGGAGAAGTGAATGACTCCAGCAGCCAGAGGCAGGAGAACTTTAAGTACCATTAACCTGCTAACTGTGAGACACAAGTTCAGTGAGTGAACAGACAGATAAAAAGTGTTTCCTTGACTACCCAGAAATCATGTGGAAACATCCATCATGCACCTTTCCCCTGCTTTCCTGAGTGATTAGACTCCTCTTCAGTTCTCCATCAATTCCTTTTCATAACACTCATTCTCTGTTTGCCTCCCAGGTGCTTTATCTTTCAAGTCATTTGAGTGTTGCAGGAAATCATCACTCCTTTTATTGGGAGCCTTTTCTTGGGTTTTGTTTCGCTTCCTCTGGTTTAGATTTTTATTGACACTGATCACTTCAGGTCGTGGGATGAGGAAGCAGCTGCTGGGGCTAATGTGGCATCACAGGCTCCAAACTCGAGGAGCATCAGCAGGGAACAAGAGCAGACACGGATAAGAGGAACAGAGCTGGTGACAGGGTCACCAGGGAAGGCAGTGTGGGTGGCAGGACACCTGTGCAAACCAGTGTGCTGTGCCACAGCTGCCAGAAGCAAGAGGCCCTTCAAAGGCTCAAGAACAGCATTGTATTAACATGGGAGAATGTTTCCACTATCAGTAGTTTTAGCTGGGTTGTAAATAAAAACAAGGATAAAGCAAAGGTTTGAAAATTAGAAGTGGGAAGAGAACCATAAATTCTGTATTTTGACTCTTACCTCCTCAGTACATTGACAACCTCAGTAAGCTGCTACTTCTTTTGGTGCAGTTTACTGAGATAAAATATACTGAAATGTGGACAGATAAATCTTTTGCTGACACATGAATGTGTTTAATTACCCTAAAGAATTCTTGAAGTGGCTGTACATAGAAGCACAATGAGTTAATTTTCCTTTAGCTAATTGCTGGTGGCCTCCAATTTCATTATTCTGTCTGAACTGATGGTTTAGGGATTGCTGCAGTCATTGTGAATGTACCTGTTGTCCTGCCAGATACTGATTTCCTGGCTGGTAGTTTCTGACATGGTCACAAAACCATTTCAGCAGTCCCATTTCTCATCTGTGCAGGCTGCTTTTACAGTTGCACTACAGATATATAAATTTCTCTGTAGAAGAGTCTTGAGATGAAGGATAGATTGATGTTTAGCATATCAGAGAAAAGAAGGGTGTTAATCTTGCTGCAGTTGCAAGCTTGCTTGTATGACCTTGAATTCTCCCCTTCTCTTCTAGAGTGAAATACAGGCATAAACTTCTGTGCTGACCTCTCTACTTCTTCACTGAGGTTTGCAGTTCATTTGAGATTTCCTTCTGTGTAAACATCAGGATTTATTCTAAGTTTGGATTATTGTAAGCATTCACTAAAATAAGCATGTGTGAGACACCTACATGAGGGACTCGTGCTAGTAAATAATTCTGCTGCAGGTAACTGCAATTTCTTCTGAATAACATCACCTTCAGCTGTTGTGCCTTAAAAAGAAGATTATTGTCTTCAAGAGTAACCTTCATCTTGCCTATTAAATGTCATTACCTCAGTTACAGGTTGCAGGAATTCTGTGGCTGACCCAGAGCCTCACTGGATGTACAAATGTTCTGCTAGAAAAGGTAAACATCACTTTCTCATAAATGAGAGCATGCTTAGCACACAAAGCAGCAGCACAACGTCTTGTGTGTTTGTCCTGAGGTTATCCATGTTTATCTAGGATCTGAAAACTTTTCACTGGAAAGAACAGCAGCAGGCATTCTCAGAAGCCTGTGGAATCAAGCATTCTCTGGGGTCTGTGTCTTTCCATGAATTCTTCTGATAAGTTGGAGGAAATGGTGTTAGCATGTGCTCTGAAGGCTGTGCTTTTAGTAAGTGTACAAAGTTCTTTCTGTGATGGACATATTTGTTAGAGTGATTGAGAGTTTTTATGGTGCTTATTTGCTTTTCTCTACAGTGAAAGTCAACAGAGGGACTTACATTCAGGCAGTGTGCAGTGTAAACACTGAATATCTCCCATGCAGGCAGTACTGATCAAAGGTCTACCTTCTGCTGGTGACAAGTTCTCTGAATTCCCTGTGCTCATAAGCATTTGTGTGGAATTTAGATCAGTTTAACGTGGATTAGGAGATGCCACAGCCTGCAGCAGATGAGCACTTTCAATTGAGTGCTGAGATGAGGTGCTGGGCAGGACTCACACATTGCTGGGTGATGTTTGCATCGTTTTCAGACATGTTGCACAGAACAGCTGGGATGGGAGAGGAGCAGTGCTGGGTTTCTGGCTCCATGCTTTGCTGTCACACTGAGTGCTTGCCCTGTGAACTTTGCCCAGCTCCAGAGGGATCTGTACACTGCCTGAAAGTCAGCCTGGACTTATGGTAACCTTCCCTGAAGGAAGGCAGACCTGGGACACTGTCAGGGAGGAGCTGACAGGTATTACAAAGGGTAGAAAACATCAAAGCAGACCTCACCTGATAAATACTGTGGGACTGGTAAGTAAATTACATTATGCAACAGGGAAAGCATTGGGGTTTTCTCATAACTGACAGGTCTAAGGTACAGTCTTGAATGAAAGTTTGTAAGCTCAAACTTTTCTGTTGTTGGTACAGCACTAGAAGAAATCCCATTTACTGGGAACCTGGGATTCCTTCCCACTCTCTATGTCTCTCTGATTGCTAATGAGTCAGGAAGAAAAATATCTCAGGTCTCACATTCTTTCTGGATTTTTGAAGCTAATTCCTGGCAGCCTCACAGATTTCCTGGGTGATCTGGGTAATATTGTTTTCTCTCACATTACCTAAGTCTCTTTAATAACTCCTTGTTAACACAGGTTGTTTATTTAGATACACTTTTTAGAAGTAGGGTATAAAAGATTAGGGCTTTATGGCTTTTCTGTGCAGGTCCCATCTTTAGTCTCCTTGTGCTGTGGCAATGAAATTATTACAGCATCTTTAGTAGTGGGTGGTGGTGGGTTGTGTGGAGAAGTTGGGAAGTTGGTTTTACTGTGTCTGAAAATAAACAGCTCCAGGAGAAGGTGAGAGAGCACAGGAGGGAGCATTTGCCTACAGAAGCACCAGTGGATTCCCAGTGTGCTGGTGTAATTAGACATCCTTCTCTTGTCAGGGCTGCAGACAGAGCAGCAGGTCAGGTGCCTGGGACAGTATTTGAGGGCTGCTCCTCTGCCGAATTTCTGCTTGTCTCTTGCACTTATGGATCTACTAATTGTGGATCTGACTGAGAGTGTGCTAAAGTCAGGGAAAAACTCTCACTTCTTTGCATAGGTAATTTTAAAGTCTGCAACTCTTCGACATCTTGTCTGTGAGGCTTTCCTCTGTACTTAAGTGCCAAGTTGTAGCTCAAGTAAGATACTACCTCATGGGTTAAACCAGAAGATTTTGCCATTGGTTTTCAGTAGTAACACAGTTTTCTGTGCAATAAATGGAAGGGGCTAAGTGTACCAATTCATCCTTAGGAGAGCTATCAGCTATCCACATGAACTATGAGGCCTCCCTAGACAATCCTTTCAGAACACTTAAAAAATATCTTACAGACATATTGAGATTCTGGAATTCCTTCAATTTACTAAGGAATTATTATTTCTGTAAATACCTGCCAGCCTTTAGTTGTAGGAGAAACATCTTTGACCCTTAAACTCTGACGAAATTTGGGAACTTTAACCCCAAAGCTGTAGCTGGTAGAAGAGACCAGGTATTCTAATGGTTGTTTCAGTGGCACAAAGGACAGAGCTGACTTGACAACAAGTGGGTCTGGATTAGTAGAATCAAGAAGAAATTCCTTCAATAATGACTATTTCTTCTTCTTGAGGAGTAGCAAGTGATGCTTTGCACCTCGTGCCTTTAGCAGACTTTTTATCCAGGAGGGCACCACTGAAAAGAAGGAATGTTCATAGTGGGGGTTGATGTGGTAGCCTCCATTTTCTGTGGGTGAAGGATCTTGAGTGTATTGCTGAAAATTATTCTGTTTCCATGCCTGCTGTGAGTGGGGCTGGGTTTTCTAGCAAGCTCTTTTCTATCAGTCTCAAAAGCTTTGCATTGTAATGCACCTTGAGATGTGTTCCATTAGTACTTGTAGAGTGTGCCTAATGAAATCAGGAGCTGTATATTCAGGCTGCTTGCAAGATAAGATCACACATAAATACAGATTCAGCAATCAGGTACTAAAGGAGAAAAAGAAGCAGAAAGATAAGAGTCTCCCATTTGACTTTGTGGTCTCTTTCTCTTCATAACAGCTCCTTTTCAAAGATGTCTTTCAAGCAACATACTGTAAGGTTATAAAGCATCTCTCAGAATTGCAGGTTAAAACTATCAAGGCCTCTTTGATCTGGGGAGGCAGTGTTTAAGCTCAGAACACAGCCTGAGGCTCCCAGAACAAAGGTAGGATGACAAAACCATTTGCTGAGAGAGCTGGTTTTCCCTATCTGTCCCTAAAACAGATAGCCATCAACTTAAATCCCTCCTGGAAACCTCCTACTAGGAAGAAGGCTCTGTCATGAGAGGGTTTCTAACCTCTATGTCCTGAAAGGAAACTGCAGAAAAAGGAAGATCACACAACAGTCCATTTTGCCAGGACAGATTTGTAATGAGGAAAGGAGTGAAATTTAGTAGAACTGAACTGGTGGAGAACAATGTTTTCTTTTAGACATAGAGCAGATAAGGTCACATTCTGTGCATTTCTCCATCAATGAAATACTAGCTTTGGCTTTCTTTTTGTGCTTTGTAATTTGAGAGCTGTGGAAAATCTGCCCTCTGCAGAAGTCAGAGTCCAGTCAGCAGGAAACACTGGATTGAGGATCAATCATAATCTAGAGCCTTCTGCTTAGCTGCCACTCACACCTGTCAAATATGTGGTCAGGAGCCATTGAGACATGCCTCACATGTGCACTTTCTATCTCAGTTTCTCAGGTGTGCCTCACAAATACAGTGATTTCAGAGTGATGCCAGTTACTGTTATTTATTGGCACTGAACACTGGAAGCTCTCGCTACACCTATGCTTGCAATAAATAATGCAAAGGTGAAAGTAACTGCAAAGAATCCCTGGGAGACAGGTATGTACTGCTGGCTGTTAAATAAGGACAACATCGTGGCACAAAAAATTTTAAATGCAAAGCTGATTTCATTGACTTGGGGAAAAATTCCCCTAGATATATGTGTACATCCTTAAGGACTTTATTACACTCAAAACAAGTTTATCTGATGATTCGGCACCTGTGAGTGAAAATCTAGTTTTCTTGACTTTCAGGCTTGGGCTTTAAATACTTGTGGCATTATCCATTCTGTCTCTTCCACATGTACCTTTATGTTGTGCAGGAAAGACTAGGAAAAACTGCAAATGTTGGCTTTTACTTTGCAAGTTTATTTTACAGCATGTATCTTTTCCCAAACTGCACACTTCAGCTGAAGTGCATAGCAAATGGACATCTTTGGCACTTCACCTTTGCTCACTTACTGTCTATTTTGTGTTTATTTCATGCCCTCAAAGAAAATAGAACTCATAAGAAAATAAATCAAAGATTCACCAGGTTTATTGGTGCATAAATTCAGTGTGACTCGCCATCTAGTGCAAGTTTAAGGCATAACATAATTACAGAGACAGTTTTAAGTCAAGGTGATAGTCTCCTAAACCACTTCAAAAGTAGTGGTATTTTATTTCTGTAAGCAGGCAAAGTAACATAAAATTTACAGGAATAGAGACATAGATATAGAGAAAAGGACTAGCAAGTAAAATTTTAGAGGTGAAATATGAGAGTCATTCATCAGCTGGCAATGTAGAGGACAAATATTCTAATGAAAAGCAGTGCACAATCCCTTTACAAGAAAAGGAGGAACATAAAATAATAGGGAAGATGCAGATGTGTTCAAACAACCTATTTATTTCAGCTGGTTTGCATTAATTCATCCAGCATCAGAAACTAGACAGCATCCAATAACTGTCTGGTTTTAAATGTATTTTCTTTCATTCCAGGTGACTGATTCTTTAGGTGTACACCCGATTCCTTCCCCTCAACCTCTGATAAAACATCATTTATCATGAGAACATTTATTAAATCCTGCATTCCTCAGTGTTTGTGGATTCTCAGGTCACCTTCCACAACATTCCATGGAAACAACAGACTTCTTACATCTCAGATTATTTCCCATTATGAATCTATAAACCAGGGTAAAAAGGAACTGCCAGAATATTTCAACTTTGCAAGTGATGTCTTAGATGAGTGGGCACGACTGGAAAAGGTAGTATTTGTCTTTTCTTTTATAGACATTGACTGTAGTTTAACCCCAGCTGTCAACTAAGAACCACAGAGCCCCTGGAACTCACACACACATATACACACACCCCCAGTGGGATGGGGAGGAGAATCAGGAGAAAAAAAGGTAAACCACATGGTTTGAGGAAAGAACAGTTTAAGAATTTAAATAAATTGAAACAAATATAATAATAAGTAAAATGTAATACATACATTATGTATATATATATATAAATATAGTAATAAGAATAATCTTAATAATAATTATCACTATTGTAGAAATAATAGTAGAAGTAGTAGTGATTAAAAGGGAGATAACAAAAAAGAGAGAGGAACAAAGAAGACCCAGAAAGGATGAATGATGCACAACACAATTGCCCACTGCCCACTGATCAACACCCAGCCTGTCCCCAAACAGTGATTGGCACCTCTCGACCAACTTCCCACCAGGGTATAAACTGAGCAGGACCTCCTGTGGTTGGAATATCCCTTTGGGCAGTTCAGGTCAGCTGTCCTGTCTGTGATCTCCCCCACCTTTTCATGCACCAGCTTGTTGGCAGAGTGTGAAAAACTGGGAAGTCCTTGACTTAGTTGTTGCTAAGCAGTGCTTACACTATCCCAGTCAAAACCAGAACGTGGTGGAACAAATCTCAGATGATACAATTTTATTAATGGGTACTGGATAGTACTGGCACCATTTTGTTTATCAGAAAGATATATGGTTATCACTCCAAGAGAGTAGTTGCCAAGGATGGTTTATATTGAAGTGAAACCCTTTAATTTTTGTCTTATTTTAGTATCTCCTCACATGTTGTAGGATGGAAGAAAGCCAGCAAATCCAGCTTTTTGGTGGGTCAATGAGGAGGGAGAGGAGGTGAAGTGGAGCTTTGAGGAGCTGGGCTCTCTGACCAGGAAGGCAGCCAATGTCCTTTCTGAGTCCTGTGGTTTGCAGAGAGGAGACAGGGTTCTGGCAGTTCTGCCTCGTGTTCCTGAGTGGTGGCTCCTCAATGTGGCCTGCATGCGAGCAGGTGAGTGCCTCACTGACTTGTTGGGTGCAGACAGAAGGCAAAGAGAGCCTACAAGACAATGTAAACAGGAATATTCTGTTGTTACCTCTAGAAGGGATCTTTTGCCTAGAAGGAGAATTGGCAGCACCCACACAGGAAGCACAGGGCCAGACATGGTCCAGTCTAACAGCATCCTCAGGTGAAGCCAGTGAGGGCTGAATGGCTGCAACCTAAGGCCAGACTTGACCACATACATTGGAAGGCAGCTGAATTTATAATGGAAGAACTTATATGATTCGAGTCATTAATAATTCAATATATCTATTTTGCTCTGCTTTTAAACTGATAAACATCCACGATGGATAAAATCAGCATCAACAGAGAGACATTACCAAGTGTTTTTGGGAAATGCTGAGTTTTTTCAATTGCTCCTTGCTTTTTTTCCAGGAATTGTCCTTATTCCAGGAACATCTCAATTAACAGCCAAAGACATCTCATATCGACTGCAGGCTTCAAAAGCCAAGTGCATCGTTACCAATGACACGCTGGCACCTGCAGTGGAATCTGTCCTGCCTGGCAGCCAGTTCCTGAAAAGTAAACTCATTGTAGGCCAAGGGAGCAGGGATGGGTGGTTGAACTTCAAAGAACTCCTTGCGTGAGTATCCAGCTCTTTTCTTTCCAGATCTTTGAGGTGAAGGGCGCTGTATTAGTCAGGTGACATTGCTGAGTTGTGGGGGTAATTTTCAAAATACAAATGAGTTACGTTTTTGCAGCCGTCTGTCAGTTCCCTGTTTTGTGATTACACTGGTAGAGGTTCATCTAATCCAGGTTTTTGGAATTTAGTTCATGTCCTTCAGCTTTGCTTAGCAGCAAGACAGTTTTTAGAAGCTCTCTGCTTCTACTGTGATCATCAGACAAGCACACAGAGTTCTAAACAATTGTTACGAGCTTGTCTGCTGGAGCCCTTTCTAATGGTTATTGATTAAATGGGAAAATACCCATTCCAGCTCTTGATGCTCAGTTCTTTCTTCCCTCTACTATCCTGGTGGCTCAGAGGATCTGACTTGTCCATCAGTCATTTGAACATAAATTATATACTATTAGTAATAAGACCAATGTACTTGGCACGATAACCTCAGTTACTAATTTCAAGTTGGGGGTTGGTTTTTGCTTGTGTGAGGCAAACACTGATTCCTGGCTGCTGCTCCATAACCAACACCTGGAGTGCCCTTGCTAAAACAGTTGCAAAGTCACTGAAATATTCTGGAGGTACTCATATCTTAAAAGTTTTGGCATACAGGGTATATTTGTTACAAGCAAAATGTGTTCTCTAAGTGTTCTTACCTGTGTTACCACCTATTTAGTGAGATCATTCACTTTGGGGCAATTCTCCTGTTGAACTTCTAAACAATAAAAATGCTGTTGCCCTGGTGGAAAAGTGTTTGTAGTGACTGGAATATATAATTTCTTCTGAAGGGTTGCATCTGCTGACCATAAATGTGTCAAGACAAGGAGTCAAGACCCAATGCTGATCTATTTTACCAGCGGAACCACGGGCTTCCCAAAAATGGTGGTGCAGTCCCACAGCAGTTATGGCATTGGATTTGCAATCAGTGGCAGGTATTACCTTGCAGTTCCTCCCAGGGCCATGATTAAATGCTGTGATCAGCATTAAGCTGAACATGAGAACATAACATTCCAGTAAATGCAGGCATTTCATAACTGTAGGATCTTGCATCTTCCTCATCTTGAAAATTAAAGGATAACTTTTCCCAAAGCATTCAGAGTTGGAAGCTGGTGATCAAGGATCCAGAAAAGTAACTTGTTTAGTTCCTGGAGAAATGAGCTGTGACTTAGCTGATGTCTCAACTGCACCAGGTAGGGAAAGCCTATTCCAGATGATCTGTTTGGGTTCTGCTCTAGATCCAGATTCTGCAGCTCAAGACAAAGATGTTTTGCACTGCTCACAAGAAAAATAAATGCTCAAAATATTAAGCAGGAGGGAAGGAAGAGAAATCAGAGAATATTTAAGACTGTTCAACTCTCCCAAGCTTTCCACAGAGCCCCACTTGCTGATGCCACATCTTCTAATGGAAGCCTCCTGCTGTGACCTGGGCCGGAGTCTCTCACATTCTCTGCAGCATTTCTTCCATCTCTGCTTTTTCATCAGGTATTGGTTGAACTTGACTCCTTCAGATATAATGTGGAATACCTCTGATACTGGCTGGGTTAAAGCAGCTTGGAGCAGTGTTTTTTCACCATGGATCTGTGGATCCTGTGTCTTTGTACACAATATGCCACAGTTTAAACCAGAAGTTATTGCAGAGGTAAGTTTAACATTTTATACTGTAATATTTATTTCCATTTTACAAAATGAAGGAAACAAACTGGGCTCCAGTCTATGGGTGCCATTGCTTAGTAGCAGCAGGGATACTACTTCCCACATCCCAAGGAATTTGGTGCCCATTAAGGTCAAGGAACAAGTGTTTTCCCTCCTGGTTAGGCCATGTGTCATGGTTTGACTGTAGATGACAATTGGATAAAGACACAGGATATAAAGATCTTGGGACCACTGCTGTGTTGTGCAATATTGAACCTAAGTTCAGATATGAACTTCCATCTGCTTTGGGGTTAGGCTGAGTATGGGCCAGTACTCAGACTATAGCATAAACCTCAATTAAGGCTCTGTTTTCATGGATTTTCAGTGAGTTGCCAGAGTGCCTATTCCCCCTTTAAGGCACTTTAAATCAATCAGTTGACTGATTCCCCTCAACACTGGCCTCTTTGTTAATCACCTGCACATTCACAAGGTCAGACCCAGCATTCCACTTTCTGTCCAGCACAATAATTTCCTATTTTTCTAGACTCTCTCAAGGTATCCCATCACCACCTTCTGCACAGCTCCCACCGCCTTCCTCATGCTGGTCAAACATGATGTGAGCAGGTACAGCAGGGAGGGGAGGGAGGCTGGGGTATAATGCTGGCACAGTTCTGCATGGTTAGTTCCTTAGCTTCCTTAATTCTCTTTTTCAGTTCAAGGAAACCTAATTAGCAAAGCTTGCTCTCAGTAAAGAAGGCTCTCAGTTCTCAAATGTGAGAAGAATGAGCCACACCATAGGCTACTTGGGCTTCAGCACTGGGTCTTTGAATAGACAGCACAGAGGAAACAAGG